GCCCGGCCCCGGCAGCTCCAAGGCTGGAGGCTCAGCCCTGGAGGGAGGGCGCCAGGGGGGCTTGTCAGCGCCCTCAGCGTGTGCCCTCAGTCACTCCAGCGCCCACAGCCAGCCCGCGCTTCCGCCGGACGGCTGCGCAAGCCCCGCCGCCTTCCCGGGGGCAAGGCAGGACGGGCGCGGCCTCCCCTCACCCCTTTGCAAGGTGACGGAACATGTCGGGTCTCCGGGGCTGGCCACGACCAGCACCGCCAGGCCCCACCTCGTCGCCTCCCCTCTTAGGGCCGAGAGCGTCCTTTAAACAGGAGCCTCTGGGGCCCTCTGAAAACTTCGGCCTTTTGTGCCTGGTGGGCACGACCTGACCGCGGCTTATCGGCGCACTGCTGTGTTTGACATTCATGGAGCCGGGCGCCACTGCCCCCCGCCACGATTTCAATCTCTTCCCCCTGCTTTTGAGAACAAAGGTTGCTTTTCGGAGGGTGGGAGCTGCCGCTCCTAAAGGGGAGACGCGGAAGAGGCCTGTAATTGTCCTGCTTCACGTGCTCTGCCAGGAGGGGTTTTCCCCCCCATCCAGCTGAACAGTTGCTGACAGATCTCATCAAACAAACGCCAGAACCGCGGATAAAGGCCGGGCATCTGAAGGATTCATATTTGAAGAGGCTGCTAATTAGAATGCGTGTGTGGGGAATGATAATTGTTCCCTGAATAGAAGCATCACAGGGAAGGCGTGATGCGGCCTTCGCCGCTTTGCTCCCTTTTGATGCCCTGGCTTCGCATTTCCTGTGGCACCGCTCGCGCCCGCCCCGCACGCAGCCGAAATAAGCCCTGCTTGTGAAGTCGGCGCAGAAATAGATCCCTGCTCACTGGGTTTTGAAACGAGGGTTAAGCAGTGAAATCCCGTTCCTCTACTAGGGCTGCACCCTGGGGTGGCGAACACAGGGCTGGAGCCCAAAGCCACTGGGCAGATTACCACGGGCTTCAAGCAGCTCTGGGTCAGGTCAGAGCCCAGACCTCAGTGTTTAAGCCTTGGAAACAAGCCTCAGGGTATGATCCTGCTACGCCCCATCCCTGTTACTGCGGAGGGCGGCAGGATCTCCTGTGTGCATCTCAGCACCCAGCAGGGTCAGGCCTTCCACTTGGAAGCGGAGCTAAGATTAGGCCTGAGATTTACCCGCTGACCTGGGTGCAGGCAGATGGAGCTGCTGTTGGTACAGCTGGGGCTCAGCCCTGTTGGCACGTGAGCTGCCCCATGCCACGGCGCCTGGCAGAGACAGCCTGTGCTGAGAGCAGGGGAAAGCGCGGGCACACAGAGCAGGAGAGGCAGAAGCCCAGGGGTGCACCGTGCTGGGGGAGTCTGGCAAGGCTGGGCTCTGAGCCGAGACAGGGCTTGGCGCTGCCTGCGTGGGGCATTTGTGCCCTGTGGCCCAGGCTTGGGGAGGGGGCTGCCAGCTCACGTTTGCCAAGAAAGCCAAACTCAGTCCCTGGATGGTGGGATTCCCCCACCAGCTGCCCTTGGCTTCTGCCCAGGCTGGATCCGATGCACTCCATCATCCCCTCCTTGCCCTCCACGATCTTTGTGACTCAATCCCCCCCAGCGCAGCCCCGCCATCCTGGAGGGGGGCAGCGAGGGGGCTCTCCAGGGGCCAAGGAAACTGCATCAATCGGATCGCTTTAAGCTGGACAAAGCGCTTGTGAGCTCCCAAGGGGCTGGCGCGGCCAGATTAGATGCAGCCTAGCGGGCTGCTTCATCCCTCTCAGGTTTCTGTAGCACACCAAACCCCCTCCCCACCGGG